AGATGAATACTTTTTTTATTTTCCCTCCTTATTTTCTAAAAAATGGTCCATTCCCTAGTCTGCTTCTGTCAAAAAAAAAAAAAAAAAAAAAAGTAAAAACCCCCCATCCTCATCTGCCAGTGGTGTGCACCCTGCTGCTTAGCAGTGTGGGCTCTAGGAATCCAGGCTCCCTGGAGGCAAGGAGTTAAAAGGCTTCTAGCATCTCTGTTCATAGTTATTCTAGTGGAATGTTAGAACATGGTTTGTGCATACTGGGGTCTGCACATTCCCCTTCCAGATTCAGTTCTGCTCTAGAGTTGGAAAGCTCCTGGTATTGAATTTAAATCCTCCGTTCTGAACCAGTTTCCTTCAGTACTCACCTGGCATTAACAGCCCCCCTCTTGCTACTGCTTCCTAACTTCCCCCAGCTCTCCTGCCTCGCCAGCGCGGTAAGTAGTTGAGGGACGTGGGTTTGTGAGCCTTTGCATCTCTTTCGGTGGTGTCGGGCCGTAGGCACGGCGTGGGGTGTTTGCCCAGAAATGACAAATCACTGCAATCATCAGTACCTGGGGAGCTGAGGAGCGTGGCGTCCGCTTTAACTGGGGTGATGACACCAGCAGGTCGCTTGCTGGGGCGAAGAGAGGGGTCGGTTGGGAAAGGGGTGCTGCCCGCGTGAAGGGAAATTGGATGCAGAGGCCCCGAGAAGAACAAAAGGGGTGTTGTTCCACTCACCGTCATGTCTTCGTCATGCTTGTATAGTTGGTGTTAATGCTCACGGCTTTTTTAAATCTGGAGGTTCTGGTAACCTGTGGTGTATTTTTTCTATTTTCCCTGTGACTTTATTTTTTTCTTCCCCCTTCCGTGTCTCTTCCCACTATGCACAGATTTACCTGCAAACTCCTTAGTGTGGTCTGTGGGGAATGTACAAAGTTTAAACACATCAATAAACACTTTAACTTCCAGATGGTCTCTTCTCTTTATTCACGGGCTCGCAGAAGTTTCGCTCTCCTCCCGCCGTGTCCTCCCCAAACCCACACAGACCCTTTCCCCGCTGTTTTGCCCACCTCTGCTTCGGGCCCGCCCCCCCGCGCGCCCCGGGGAGCCGTAGGAACGGGTCCAGCTGGTGGGGGAGCGGGTTTGGGTGGCGTGGCGGCTGCACTCAGAAATAACTGAACTGTTTGGTGTCATTTTCTCTTCCAGGGCACCTAAAACAAATGGGCTGTAGAGCTGACGGCTGTCTCTGCTGCCATATATCGTTCCTCGTCTGTTTTCCTGCTTTGAAGTGTGACCTCGAAGGCAGATTCCTCCTCTCTCGCATCTCAGAGAAACGACCAAGAGTCACCGCTGCTTGAACGCCGTTTTGGGAGGCCGAGGGACAGAATGGATCTTCCCACGCGCTGACCGGAGCGGTTCCCCGTAGGTCTGATGAAGAGCAGGGAGAGGAGGTAGGAGGAAATGGGAAACGATCGCGTGTCCTGCTTCTCCTTGGTTCCACCGGAGCTTCCGTGCTCTGGTTGAATTATTCAGACTCTGCAGGAAAGAACAGATGCTGTCCTAGAAAACGCCGGCTGTTGGCTTGTCACAACTACTTGGGAGAGAGTTTTGATTTTTAAACTGTAAATTTAAGTCAAACGATGCCAGAGCGTATCTTCAGTCCGAAGCTGTTGCTTGGACTGCACCCTCAGGTAGGGTGAGCTGCAAGAGCAACAAATGACAGAGGCTGTGGAGTGAATTCCGGAATTGAATCTGGGTATTAGATTTTTCCTTCGATAAATTCTGTTAGTCCTACAAAATAAATACGTCAGGCTGGAAGCTAAGTCTATTAGTTACATGCGTTGGCGCAGGCTGCCAAGCGCTCGCGATCGATTCTTTATGATGGATTTTGACTGCGGCTCCTGAAAAGTAATGTTTAGAAGTGTTCCTTGGAGATCGGTGCTCAGACGTGTCCCAGGTGTCAGCCGTGCGGAGGAAGGGCTGATGTCCCAGCAGAGAGGGGCGAAAACTGTGATTTTAAAAAGTAGTAGTGCTCTGTTTACCTTTTAAGAGGAGCAGCATAGGGCCAGGAGGAAGACCTTTTTTACAGGACATAGTAGCAGGTAACTGCCGTCCCCTTGAGAAGGTCCACGTTAGCCAACCCTCAGCCTGGCAGGGACTCTTCCAGCTGTATCTTAAATTTCTGGGGAGGCGATGCCAGGACGGAGGCTTGTTGTCCTGCAGTCCTGTTTTGTGGCTACTCATCATCCCATGGGCTCTGTGCCGTGGATTCACCTTCTACTGTGAGAAACAAATAAGAGCTTAACTTGTTTTGGAATTCTCTCCGGGGAAAACCTACTTCTCAAGTGTCTGAGAGGTGCCTTTTTGTTCTGCTCACGCTGGGTGAGGAAGGTGCAGTTGTGACTGAGTTGGATTGAATATCCCTGCTGGGTTGTGTCGTAACAATTTAGCGCGTCCTCCTGCAAGGTCTCCGAGATGAAGGGGTGTGCTGAGTTCAAAATGTAGGAAAATTCCAGTCTGAGTGGTGCCAGGGTGGATTTTTGTGTTGTGTTTTTTTTTTTTTAGCTGACAGCACAGCTGCTTCAGAGGAAGTGGGTTTGAAGGCTTCCTGAGCAGAGGGCGGGTGGCTGCTTCGTGCTGGTGCTCCCCGAGGAGCTGCTGGGAAGCCTACCCGGTGCTGACCACCTTCTGGAGCTGGGCTTGGTGGCCCTAGGGCATGCCTTGAAACGTGCAGCAAGGAGAGGCAGCGCTCGAAGTGATCTAGTTAAGCAGAGGTGTTAAACTGCTTTTGTCTCTGCCTGGGTTTTTCTCTGTGTTTGCCAGGGCCTCCGGTTTCTGCAGCAGAGGCTGGCACCGCGCGATCGAACGCAAGGTGAGCGATAACCGTTTGCTGCGGCGTGGCAGGGAGTAATCCTGCAGCTGGTGGAGAAATGTGGGTTGGAAGGGACTGCTGGAGGGCATCTCGCCCAACAACTCCTGCGCTGAAGTCAGAGCAGGTCGCTGTGCGGGTGAACCGAACGCTGCCGCGGCTCCGCTTCCCCTCTGCGTGGGTTTTGGGGCGTGAAAAGCTCGGTGAATTATTATAGGAGGTCTTTAAAGTCTAAAGGTGAATTCCTGCTCCATCATAACAGTCCTTTTATCCTTCCACTGGGCAAATGTACTTGTTTGTGGGCAGCTTTTTTTCCGGGGATGCAGTCCTTGTGATGCTGAAGGCTACTTCGGTGTCATTTGAGCAAGGTGAGGGTCCTGATTGTCGCTTTTTTTGATGTAATGGGATAATCTGCTCTGCAGGCTGCGAGATTTCATCTTATCCTGTGGAGAGGCAGTTGTGGATGTCCATTTTCAGCAGGCAGTGCCCCTCGCACAGCATCTTTGGAGAACAGCTCGTTGCCACGTGAGTAGTTCCATGCTGGAAAAGAAATCAACTGCGGGCGAAGCGACGGTCTGGCTGCGTGGTTTTGCTGGGCTGAATTTTGCCTTGAGCTCTCGCTGGCGACGCGAGCTTGGGGTGAGTCAGCGGAGCTCAGTCCAGCTACTGAGAAGCAGAGCCAGGCTGGGACTATCCCGGGGCAGCGTTTGGACCGAGCGCTGGGGTACCACGGCTGTTCAATGTGATGATCTCTGGGAAGATGATGATGTGTTTTGTGCCTTTCTCTGATTATTTCTTTGCTCACTGCTGTCTCCTCGTTTTGAAGGGTGAATACCAGGAACATCACAGAGTACGCTGCTGCGCTTCGTCATGAGGCATCCTTCGTTTTTCAGGATGATGAGCCAAGAACTACACACCACAGATGAGGAAAAACGGAGAAGTCCTTGTATTTTAGCTTCAGGCTGATTTGCTTAAGTTTATTTTTCAAAAAAGAAGAGAACGCTTGAATTTCCTGTGACCCAAAATCATTAGTGGAGTTGGTTCTTCCCCAGAAATCTGTTTTGGTATCCAGCAGCGTGCTCCAAATTGGGTATGATGTGCATCAGGTTTATGTATTTTATGAGGAACTTAGACATTGTATTCTGTTGAGATGTTCCAGTGTTCTCTGCTTTTTTAGACTGGATGATCAATCAGTAAGGGATGGGGTTGAGGCCACCCAGCAACGCACTACTTCAGTGGTATGCTTGAAACATCTTTATGAAGAAGGGCAGAAGCTTCAGCATGGAAATTATGATTTTTTTTTTTGCCACGAAGGACTTAGAATTTGGCTCACGTGAAAGATTCAGAGGTCTGTGGCTGATAAAGCACAGGACCATACAAGGCTCTGGTGTTTAAATTTTCTTGTGCTGAAATGGCAGTAGCACATCCTCATGGTTATGTATTTAGATGTATGATGGGGGGGCTGTGTGTACTGCTTGGTGGTTTACTGGGTCGAGCTGAATAAAAATGCAGGACTTGGTTTCTTTTTTTGGTGGTCGTTTTGGTTTTTTGGCTTGGGGGGGACTTCGGGGGTGGACTTTTTAATTATTATTGTGGTTTTTAAAGAGTAAAAGAAAGAAAATAAAGAATGAAAAAAAATAATAAAAGAAAATGAAAGTAAAAAGAAAATAAAAAGTAAAATAAAAAAAAAGAAAATAATAAAATAAGAGAAAAATAAAGACAATAAAAATACAAAATGAAAGAAAGAAAGAAAAAAATTTTTATTTTTCTTTATTTTCTTTTAAATTATTTTAGGGCTGTTATGTTTGTGTTTTACTTAAACAGACTTGGAGTTGGTAGTTCCTTGTAGAGAGGTGTATGCCTTCATCTGTATCCTTATGTAGTTCTTCACCTGAACTGCATGAGGTGAAAGGCAACAAGCAATTGGTAGAAGTCATCTTTTATTCTGAAGCTTCTCCACTTACTTACACCTGTTACCTGTTGAAGCACAAGAGAAAGCACACAGCACTTAGACTAAAACAGAGAACACAGAATAAAAGCTTGCTGTCAAAACATGCACAGACTTGAATTCTTCTTTGCCCCCCGGAGAGCCAACAAAATGTCATGTTTATACAGCCAGCGCTGCCTGA